CCCTAAACTCCTAAACCCCTGAACTCCTAAACCCCTCGACTCCTAAACCCCTAGACTCCTAAAACCCTAGACCCTAAACCCTGGAATTTGGCAGGCCGCTGCACACGCCAAGAAGCGGACGTTAGGGGTCCTGGAGGGCGTGGAGGACCTGAAAGGCCCGCCTTCTTTTTCAATCTAGGGGTTAGGGTTTAGGGTATTAGGGTTTAGAGTTTGGGTTTCAGGTTTTGGGTTTAGGGTTTTGGGTTTAGGATTTAGGGTTTAGGGTTTAGGCATTAATCAAGGTTTAGGGTATAGGGTTTTGGGTTTGCAGGTTTTGGGTTTCGGGTTTAGGGTCTAGGCATTAAGTAAGGTTCATGGTCGAGGGGGATCGTCATGGCGTTGTGTCCCCTGCTGGCTCCGAGCGCAACCGCCGACATCAAGTACCTGAACTGGAGATCCTTTACGCAGTTCGCGAAGCTGGAGCACAGGATGTTGTAGCGGCGGTTGCTGCTGCTCCCCACATCTTTGAGGATGCCGACTTGCGCAAATCTGCGGTTGCCTACTCGTTGGATATTACTGTACAAGCATTTTGCGAGAGGCATCTCTCTTCCGCCGCGGAGAAACAGCTACTTGCGGAAGAGCTTCTGCGCACTCTACAGCATTGGTCAGAGGTAAATACTGCGTTGTCCCCTTCAAGTGAGCTCTGCGTGGGAGGCTGCTGTTGCCAGCTTGAGAGGGAGTGACAGTGCCATCTCTGACTTTTTCCATGCAGCATTGCCTTCTTGCAGTTGTGTTGGAAGATCGTGCGGATCAGCGTGCAGGCAGGTTCTGGGTTTGAAGGTTTAGGGTTTAGAGATTAGGGATTTGGGGTTTAGGGTTTAGGGCATCTTTGGTCAGGGGTTTTGTGGGTTTAGGGAAAGGAGGTGTTGGGTTAACTGCTCAGTGTGCAGGATTTAGGGCTCATGGTGTAGAGGGTGTTTTTCAGGTGTAAGGTGGTTTAACTGTTTAACTTGTAGGGTTTATGCGATGAAAGATGTTCCGGGAAAGGTTTATGATGGTTATAATTTGCTTTTTTTTTGGTGTGTGAGCGCACAGGATTCAGGTATCAACAGGGTTCGGGCTTAGGTTACGAAACCCTCTAGGGTCCTTCCGTTTACTGCACGATTTTGTGTTTCGTACGTGCAAGGTTTGCATACCGCAGATCCTGAACCCGCAGCCTTAAACCGCCAAGCCAACCTTTAAGCCCTAAGCTTTAGACCCTCATTTTGTTTTTGGGTTTAGGGTTCTAAGATCCAAGGCGCCGAAAGAAGCGCAGACACTCCAAGCCCTTGGCATTCTACGTCCAGCGCTGAAGCCTTAATCTAATCTGGGGCATAAACATGGCCTTTGGGCGTTTTTCCCAACCCTAAACCCTAAACTCTAAACCCTAAACCCTAAACCCTACACCCTAAACCCTAAAAGGGGGACTATTCCTGATCTTATGTTGCATCCCGGACCCAGAGCCGAACCGAAACAAGGCCTACACCCTCTGCACCTGGGGTTTAGGGTTTAGGGTTTAGGGTTTAGGGTTTAGGGTTTAGGGTTTAGGATTTAGGGTTTAGGGTTTAGGGTTTGGGGTTTAGGGTTTAGGGTTTAGGGTTGAAAGACTTGGTCCTATCCTACCCTCAACCGTAAACCCTCGACGAGGGAAGATCAGAAAGCAGGTTTGGGCCTCTGGGCCTCATGTCATATTGGGCGTATATTTAGTACTCTTGTATCCCTTTGTTTTGAGGTTTTAGGAAACCCTTGTAAAGACTCTGTGTATATTAGGTCCCAGTGGTACTCCTAAATCCCTTGGTTTGGAGGCTTTAGGAGTTTAGGGTCTAGGGCGTACATTAGGTCCCAGTAGTACTCTTACAT